CAAACAACACCCCCACAAACAAACTAAAAACAAACAAAAAGCAAAAACAAACAAACCCCAAAAACCTGTGTACAGTACTTTGAGGTTATCAACCACTAAATACTCTAACTCCCGATTTTTTGGTTCCCAGAGCATTCTGGCTGCAATTATCATTGTGTCCTTGAAAGGTCTATTCCTGCAGTTCGGAGAGCTGAAACGACTTTGGCGAGTCTCAAAAGTGGATTATGTAAGTTCTTTGTGTTCGTGATTTGACAGTACTGCAATTGGGTCAATTTATTATCCTCTGATTAGTTTGTAAAGTAGCTGCACTATCACAAATGGTTCCTTTGTAGCCCTCTTGTAACACCTCCTATCTTCGGCACTTTTATGACCTTACTGTGTTGCAAGTGCCGTTCAACTGTTATTAAAACAGAAAAAAGCGTGTTCACTAAGTCAAAGTATGATGTGTTTTGGTAAAAAAAAACCCACAAAAAACATGCTACAATAGTTCTTCCCTGGTAAGCTGGAAGCCATGAGCACGAATTTGTCAACGGCTCTCGTGAGAAATCCCACATTGCACTGTTGTTGCTTTGTCCTGGGTCATTTACTTTTCTTTTTGTGAAGAAAAAATATCTGCTTCGTAAATAATTATTTGCTTACTGTCTTTTTTTAGACGAAACGATAGATTGATATTCTATAGCTAGATAGCTAGATAGATAGAGAAAATGGTGAATAGCTAGATGGTTGATAGCTAGATAGACAGAAAGACAGATAGACAGACAGATGGATAGATAGATAGATAGATAGATAGATAGATAGTTAGATAGATAGATAAAAATAATCTTCTTTACAAACATAACTTTGCAGATGTGACTGAAACCCCAGTTTTACCCCATAAACCGGCAAAAACTAGCAATAATGCACGGGACAGTTGCAGGCTGTAAAAGAAAACGTTCTGACATAAACTGAGTCAACCCCTTGGGAAGCTTTCAAGTACTGTAAATGTGCACAGTAAGGTCTAGCAGCCTCAGAAACGAACAAAATAGCATTTATATACCTTGTTATTATGCGATGTGTCATTGATTTATGCAGCGTTACACATAAAACCCTTGCTTTGTGTTGGTGGCTTTAGGTATTTAATATCATGCTTCAATAAATCCAGCGTTTTACGCAGTAGACTCAGATATTACGCTACCTTTGAATTAATCAGTTCTGTCCTCTCAGTACCTAGTTAAAAAAATCACGTCAAAAGTATTGAATTTCACATTATGTGAAGCCTTTTCAATTGCAATTCTCTGAAAATCTTGACAATTCCTCCGAATGATCATAGGATTTTAATAGAGCAGATGAAAGATTTGGTTTCTCACCTCATGGTCTTAGTAACTAAAAACGGTCAAAATTGTCCAACAGAACTTCGTAATTGAGGTAACGATTATCTAACTGCCTTATTTGGGCACTGTCAGAGTCTGGTATAAGATATGAATATTTCAAGGCCTTCCTTTGGACTCTAACGCAAGGACAAGATTCAATCTGTCTCTACCTCGCACCCGTTCCCCCTTCTGCCTCGCTTTTAATATTTAATGCAATCAATAAATGCTGCCCCCTCCCCACTCTCTCTCCCCCTCCCCCACTCTGTCTGTCTGCCTGTCTGTCTGTCTGTCAGTCTGTCTGTCTGTCTGTCTCACACGCTTACACAAACTCTCTCTCTCTCCTTCTCTCCCTCAGTCTTTCAGTCTCTCCCCCCTCCCCCCCCTCTT